TATATAGCGAACTAGAGTGGTAACGGTAACGCGAGATAATGGGGTGCGCTACGGGCCTAGCACCGAGGTTGGGAAATGTCGAGGCGGAGGTCCGGAGCGCGGGTTACCAACCGAACCGTGAGGTTGGGTCGCATCGTGAATGGTGGCGGGAGTCATAGTCGAGGCGAGTGTCGCGAGCGGGTAACGTTTCACTGTTAATGTGCCGATGGCGGGAATGGTCTTGTACGCGGTAAGCAGGGGCGCGAAGTAAGGAAAATGATTTTTCCTTACAAATACAAACTTTACCATTTCTGGTTCTGTGAGAAACATCATTGAGCTATTGATATTTTACATGCGAGACGGGCAACTCCTAACGTTTTCCCTCTGTCCGGCCGGTCGGATAAGCCGGTGGCCGGCGAGCTGACGGCTGGCGAGCTGACGGCCGGCGAGTCAGTCGGTTAGCGAGGTTGTTTTTGTTGAGGCGATCATTCCGCACCGCACTCTGAGTCGGTGCCCACTTCGTCCGCAAAGGACAGGGGAGCGTGGGTGGGGTCTGTCATCCAGCGCAGGGCGAGGGGGGCCATTTATTTGGTCGGCATTTCCGAGATGGTGAACTGACAGCCCGCTTTTTGCTATTTTGTTTAGTTTTTGTGAAATACCAGTGCATGCCCACTGTCAGAGAGTAGCAATTTTCTGACCGCAACAAATCACCGTCATCGTACAGTATACAGAATTCAAACTCGTCTCTTTGCTACATTTTGTCTGATGGCTGAGCTGAGAGAAGCCTTCGTGCCCTGAAGGTTCTGAATTCTGGTAACAAAAACCGAAAGGAAGATGCCTATCGCACTTTGAGATGATAATTTGAAACACCAAGGCGAATATTTTCTATTGGTGGGCATGTCCCCAGACAGACACTCTTTAGTGATTCTTCAGTAGAATCTCAGGAATCTCCAAAGAAGTGTTCGTGCCCATAAAGTGACCAGCCGACATTTTAGGTTAATATTGTTTTACAGCGTGATTTGTGAAGGCAGGCCTGTTGATATCTGAAATCACCCAACAGCCCTGAAATGGGCCACGTCAAAATTCGGGAGACCCGTTACGAGAACAGTACTGCATAAAGGACAACAAGAATCCACTCGCTCCAGCTGTGTCTGATGCTGATTTCCGGACTGTTCTTCATTGTGCTCTGAATGTCACGCGTGACAATGGGTTTTGAGTTGATCACGTAAAGTTTTTGGGGTTTTGTCGTGGGCGTGTAGGCTGATGGGCCATTTGCTGTGAATGTTGACCGCTGCTCCTGTCGGTTGTTTCCGGGCATGTTGAGAGTGGGCCGTTTCGCGGGCATCATGTGTACAGCGCTTCTGGCGCACAATCACTGCCCAGTTTTCGCTTAGAGTGCAGAAAAAATGCGATTTCATTGGTCGACACATCGCAGATAACTACAAACTGAACCTGTGGATACTGCCAGTGAAAACAGTATCTATTGTATTTATGCTTTTGGTGATTAATTAATATTACCCCATTAAGAAGGGTATCAACCCGAAACACCTTCCGAATGGTGTTTAGGGTTAATGCTCTATCGATGGCACGCCTTCGAAAAAATATACTCGTTGGGAAGGGCATCAACCCTAAACAACTTGCCTCCTGGTGTTTAGGGTTGATGACTCCCTCAAAAAACGGCCACCCGATAGGGTTTTATATTTGTTATGCCCGAAATATAAGCATTTGACGGTTCGTGGCCGTCAACCCAAGCAGAGTTGTCGGCCCGTCAGTTTTGTGACCAATGAAAGAACAACTCTGTGCTGTGAGCGAATTCTGGGCAGTAACAGTGCGCCCGAAACGCACAGAATTCTACCCTCAATAAAATTCAAAACTACTCGTATACAAAAGTTTGACCAAGGAGAAGTACCCTCGCGCGGTTAAGATAGCGGCGATTAAAATACCGCGGACTAGGTGTACAGTTGCTGGCCGCCACTACACATCAACTACAGAATCCATATTGCTGTATGTGTACAGCATTATGGACGGGGCATGATTCGTGTCTATCAGCAATATGGAAAATGAACCAATCCCGCGAGACCAGAAATCACTGTTGTATTGAGACTTTGGTGGTGGTGACCAGGCCTGTCGAAGTGTTTGGGAGCAGCAATTGGAACCCTCACCTGCTCGAAAAACAGCCCGTTTTTTCACGTAGGTGAACCTATTCTCGCCCTTAACCATCACGGGCGCAGGCCAAAGACAACACTTGAAATTAGGGCTCTGGAGTAGAGTGTACTTAAGCAAAACAAAAACAAAGGTCGATTTCAGCGTGATGCTAAGCGCTCCAATTTGCGTATGGTCTCGCCGCACCTAAGCACTCCACCACTACGCACACGCAGGATTGGTTTTCTTGTGCAATTCGATAGGAAGGGGGAGGCGGGGACACGGCAAGGATAGTTAAGCGGTGGGAGCGGGGGGTCCTCAGTATCGAAATCAACACTTAGAAACAGGGGAGGCGCCATATCGAGCCCTCAACAATCCCGGAAAGGGCCAAACGAATCCCTGAACCATCACGGGTACCCCTAGAGTCAAACACTTTAAACGGCCGAGATGCGCAGAAAGTAACCCAGAATGTTCAGAGGGCATATGCCCTTCCTTCGACAGCCCTGGTGGTGACATCGTGGTGAAAGGCAAAAAAAGGGTCGTCTCTTTCCCCAGAACACCTGAACAGCTTCCATGCGCAAGTCACGACGGCATGACTCCATAATTCGCAACTTCTCATTTCAACCCTTGTAACTGGAGACAGTGTCCCCACTGTAGTACCGGACACAACACCTTGTTTAACCAGTCCTGCTAAACCGCGCCTCGTCCATCGTGGATGTCCGGACTTTTCGATTCGGAGAGTTATCTAGCAAACGTATGCGCCACTGCTGGATGGCTGATGACTAAAGGGTAATATCTTAAATGTTTTGTTTTGTTTTGTTTTTTGGCCTTCCTTCAAGGAAGGAATGACCATCCGCTCGCACTGCCAGTGGTCCACAAGCGTGCTTGTCTGAACTTCAGAGGCTGCTCTAATGCTCCTTTCAAGGAGCCGGACAGAGGCCGGACAGAGGCCGCCGGCATTGGGAATTAATTCGGCTCCGAGCTGTAACATCGTCAGTCTTTGTCGCAGAGAACCTTGCATTCATTTTCCACTCATAGTATAAAAACTACGACAACTACTTCTAGTAATAGTCTGCTTGGATGTAGGTCGCTGCCCGGCAGAACCATTATGGTAGAACCCTCCGAGAAAGGCACGAGTCGGCTCTTGGAGAATCCTCAGCAAGAAACCTCTGGCCGGCCGGGCTCTGAGCGCGCAACTAGCCATCACCTTTCTAAGAATGAGTCGGGCAGCCAGGAGGGGTGTGAGCAGGACTGGGGGCGGCCAGGGTGGGAGGAAACGGTGGCGCGGGTGGTGGGCTCCGATTGGCACAACTGGCTCAAGTACGGCCAGAAGCAAGTGCAGCGCTCCAACGCCACCAGGTCTGCCTTGTAAACTTCCTTTGACTTGTGTTGACTCAACAGCAGTGTTTTGGGGTTCTTTCCGGACCCTTTTCAGACTCCTCAGGATGCTCAGCACGCATTGGAATCAGACTCCTTGAAGGAGTCCTATTTTGGGTCTGGAAATTACTTTTCCAGGACCCGAGAAGGGCCCTGCTTGGCTGTGTTTTGGACCTTCTATGTCTGTGTTGGACTTGCTTTAACTCCTGTTGACTGTGTAGATCAGCTGTCCATTGTCCATTGTCAGCATAATATATGTTTAATCAGGTGAGTGCAGAATCGCGACTCAAACCCATTGCCTTTTTGTAGCACGGTGCTGTGCTGCTTTTCTCTTCCCGAAACGGTCTGGTAGGATACATTTGGGCAACAGTTTCCTCTCCAAATGTTTCGTCCTAGACAAAGTTTGGGATTGGGGTTAAATTTAAGTTTGCACAGGGCCAGTAAGGGCAGATTCAGGACCGACAATTTTTTGAAGTCACATCCTTAACTCTTTCCCCTGCATCACAGGTGCTACTACAATTGCTGAGCTGTAGAGTTTATCATCTCATACCACCCTCCCCCCCTCTCCCCCCTCCGGCTTCATCAGGTGTTACTACAGGTGCAGTCGCTACAAGGCCATACCGCGCTGCCCGGCCAAGAAGACCGTTGACATCAACTGCAGCAACGGCTCGGAGCAGCTCTCCCCAAACTCTATCCAAGTCGCCTACCACAACCGCATCCACAACCACCCCTTGCCTTCCAGACGAGCCCGTCCTCTCAATCGCCACTTTCTCCCCGTTAACCTCCCCGCAAAGTGCTTAAACAGGCGCCATTACCGTCCTATCAATCACCTGAACGATCGACCTACCGACCCTCCCACCGGCCGCACGAATGGGCCCCATAAAAACCTCGCGGCTTCACACAGTGGTGATGGTATCACTGCACCAGACGCCATTCGGCCTGTTGATTTCGGTGGTGGCCTGAACGCGTTGGGGAATGATTTTGGTGCAGCTATTACCCCAGCTGCTGATTCTTCTGGGTCTCTGAACCCCCTGTATGTTGTTTCTGGGGAGACTCATAACGTCCTGGTGCATGCATTGCAGAATGAGAGCATGGAAGTGAGTGCTGCAGCTGCTGCTAGTACTCTCAATGCTGGCGCTGTTATTGCTGCTGCTGCTAGAGATGGTGGTGCTGGTGCTACTGGTGGAGCTGCTGCTGATGGTGCTCCTTGTGTTGCTGTTGCTACTCGTGCGGCTGGTGGTGCTGCTTTTGCTGCTGCTGATGGTGTTGCTGATTCTGCCGATTGGGCCGCAGTAGCCCTTTGGCACTCTCTCGGTCAGGAGGAGCAGTTACCCGAATATACTTGTGTACCTCTGTGGGATGTTTCCCCAATGCATCCCCTGCCGATCCACCTCCATTCATCTCCCCCACAGCTAACTGGTACTATCCACGTCAATGGCTGCTCCACTGGCGTTAAAATCGATGCTACTGTTGATGTTGGAAGGTGTACAGAGCCTATGGAAATGCCGCCTGTGGTGTTCAGCTGCGAGATGCTAGGAGAAGACGATAGCCGTCCATTGTATGCTGATGAGGAGGACCCGATGGATGAAATATACTCTCTGCTGGGAACAGTTCCGCCTACGAAGCAAGAACTTCAAGAGCTGCCACTGTGTCGCAATACCAACCATGTGGGACTTTCGCCAGAGTTTAGAGAGATTGGGGGGGTTGAGGAGGAGCTGAGCGCAGGTGGTGTTGTGGTGGGCAATGGGGAGAAATTTTGTCGTGATTTGCATCACGATGGGGAGGGAAGGGTGCACGACCCTTCAGAGCTGAGCTTGGCAGCACCAATGGGGTCTGGGCTAGGCACTGATTTGACTGACTACTGTGCTGCATCTGATGCTACTGGGTTTGATACGCAGCAGGATGTGATGGTGCTGCAGCAACTGCGGCAGCAACTGTGGCAGCAACAGAAGCAGCAGCAGCAGCAGCAGCAGCAGCAGCAGCAGCAGCAGCAGCAGCAGCAGCAGCAGCAGCAGCAGCAGCAGCAGCAGCAGCAGCAGCAGCAGCAGCAGCAGCAGCAGCAGCAGAGGAAGCAGCAGCAGCAGCAGCAACAGCAGCAGCATCCGCAGCAGCTTCCGCAGCAGCAGCAGCAGCAGCAGCAGGAGGTAGATCCTCCCGGCTCTTCCAGCAATTGCCAGCGCCATGTTGTTCACACGCCAATGCAAGCAGCAGCTCAGCCCTCAACCCCACACATCGCACTCCTGACCGACAACTCACCCGCTGCAGCAGCAATGGCTTATAGGGGCTCGCAGGCCGGGGGGCTGTGCTGCATAGGTGCAAGACAAGAAACATTGCTGATGCAAACACAGTCGATGCAAGCAGCATTAACTGTACAAGGAGCCGTTAAGGCGCCTCAGAAGACGGCTGATGGGGGCATGCAGGATGGGCTGTGCTCCGGCCAAGCTTTTCATCTGCTGTGCGCTGCTGATTCGAGACAAGAGGCACAGGGGATGGAGGGAGCACGGTTGATGCAAGGAGCCTTTTCAGGGCAGCAGGTTCAAGGTTGCTCAACCAATCAAATCGATTGCCAAACCATGCATTGTGCGGGCTTGGTGCAGAAAACAGCCCCAAGGGAACAGATAAATGCCCACAGAAGCGCACTTTCAAGGCGCAAACCTCATCTAGATCAGCTTGCAGCGTTCCTGACCGCAGCAGAGCACGGAGTGAGTGGTGCATTGGCCCAGCAGGAAATGTCTGGGCCCTTGATTCCTGCGCCAGTGTTTGCATTCCTGGGGGGAGCAAGCACCATCCGTGTTTCAGACTTTGTAGCCGTTGACGTGCAAAAGGAGTTACAGTCGTGGCTCGAAAGCGCAGCTTAGAAAGGCCATCTCTGATTCGTTTTTTGGTGTGTCATATTCGTGCAGTTATGGTACACTTTGTAGCTTAAGTTTCCGTGTACAGCTTACATAGCAGCCATTGACGTGCGAAAGGAGCTGCAGCCATGGCTCGAGGGTGCAGTTTCGAATGGCCTTTTTTTTTAATTACTATTATTAGGTAGTGTAGTTATGGTACACTTTGTGATTTAAGTTTCCCTGTACATCATATCCAGTATTCCTGGCATGGGCATGGCAGTTGTCATTTCTTGTTTCAAATCGTTCTGACTCTCTGTATATGTGAATGCTTACATATGCACAAACACCGCAATGGCATTGAGTTGAATCGCTACACCACACACCACAAGCAACACAAAGCTGGGATTCGGCACGGTTGCATCACAACCACAACAAATTTGTACAACATGCAGTGCCAGATGCCTTAGCGTTCAAGCTATTGCCAGGTCGGCTAATCTCCTATTGAATCTGCTCCAGTAAATCTATAATGCGTGCAAAGGAAGGCGTTGCTGCCGGGTCACCCTTCAAGCATCTGCTACCAACCTGGGGAATAGGGAAGAAAGGACAGGGGGTGTGCTTGTTACAGTTTGAAGTGCCTTCAAAGGGAAATCTTGCTGCCAAGTCACCATTCCAACAATCCGGATGGAAGGAGCCAGGATGCGGGACTGGGTGAGGGAGGAAGAGAAATATCAGGCTTTCGGGTTGAAGGACCGTGTTGGTGAGGAGAGAAGTCACCATATGCACACAGGGACTGCGGAGATAACTCTATCAACGGGAGCTTGACTACGGGCTAGGCACGGGGTAGGAGGGATCTCTGCGTTCGTTCACTTAGTCGTTCTATAGCACTTGTGCGTTCACAGGGCAAGACTGCAACAGTTTCACTAGCAAAAGTTGAGAACAATGGTTCAGAATGATAGCAACAACATTGGCATGCAAGACTACATCAGACCTAGCAAAGCTGTTGGTCGACTTCCAGCGCAGCACGGTCGACCGCGTGCCAGCACGACTTGGTCGACCGCGCTCCAGCAGAGCAAAGTCGCGGCTTGCCAACATGTCCACGGTGTGCCAACGCTACAGCAAGTCGGCTGCACAGCGTTGCACTCGCAGGACAACGGTGCACCTGCTTTGCAGGTGCGTGCAACTGGTTGGTGCACTTTTCCTTGTCACGTGCACAGCGCAAGCGTCCAGCTCGACTCCACGCCAGCGACTGCACCCACCAGCCACGTCGACCTCGGGATACTACCAACGAGGTCAGTCTTGCCACTGCCACCTGGGCGACCGTCGCACTCCTGCGCAAAACCTTATCACTCAGGTAACCTGGTCGACCGGGTAACCACCATGCCGACCAGCTGCTTCCTCGTGTGTCCGTCGACCTCCCAAGTCGACGACCACCTTCAGTCGACCACACCAGGTCGACCACACCCTTGGTCGACCAACTCCAGGTCGACAACACACCTGGTCGACCAACTCTAGGTCGACCAGCACACCTGTCAGCCGACCACACTAAGCCGGCTTCCCTTGGTCGACGTCACCCAAGTCGACGCCCTCTACTGGTCGACCTCCCAAGTCGACCAGCCGAAGTTGGCGCCCTTCCAAAGTCGGCGCCATTGCAGTGGCCCCCGTGCAGGTCGACCAGACCCGTCGACCAGCCCCCCCACTGCTGCAGGTCGGTTTCACTCCTCACACCCGACCACGAAGTCGGCTCCACCCCAAGTGAGGACGGGGCCAACAACAACTCCCATTGCCACTCCCCTGCTGCTTCCTCGTGTGTCCGTCGACCTCCCAAGTCGACGACCACCTTCAGTCGACCACAACAGGTCAACCAGACCCTTGGTCGACCAGCTCCAGGTCGACAACACACCTGGTCGACCAACTCTAGGTCGACCAGCACACCTGTCAGCCGACCACACCAAGTCGGCTTCCCCTGGTCGACGTCACCCAAGTCGACGCCCTCTACTGGTCGACCTCCCAAGTCGACCAGCCGAAGTTGGCGCCCTTCCAAAGTCGGCGCCATTGCAATGGCCCCCGTGCAGGTCAACCAGACTCGTCGACCAGCCCCCCCACTGCTGCAGGTTGGTTTCACTCCTCACACCCGACCACGAAGTCGGCTCCACCCCAAGTGAGGACGGGGCCAACAACAACTCCCATTGACACTCCCCTGCCGCGTTCACACTTGAACACCCAGCCCACATGGCAACACTGCTCAGATAATAGCTCGTCGGCGTGCACCCAACACACAGCACGCCGGTCACCGCACCAGCCATGCAAGAGGGCATGGCACCTACTGCTGCACGTCGTTGTCACCGTCGCCCACGTCAACCAGGCGCACCTGGCCGATTGCAACGGAGCACCGGTTGAAGGGCGGGTAGTGCAGCGCCTTCGTCAGGAAGTCGGTTGGCTGCTCAGCAGTCGGGATGTACCTCAGTGAGAACTTCTCACGATTCACCATGTGCTGCAGCCAGGCTTGTCGCCGTTCCATGTGCTTGAGGTTGCCCGTCAACCCCATGCCCTCGGCGACCGTGATGGCCGACTTGTTGTCCACCCGAAGGACAGTCGGCGTCCCGGCGTCCAGTTGTCGGAACTCTGCAACAAGAAAACGAAGTCGACGTCCCTCCTTGCCGGCTTCTGTTGCCGCCACGTACTCCGACTCGGTCGACGACAACGTCGCGCACTTGATGCGCTGGCTCGACCAGGAGACTGCGGCCCCTCCGTAGACGAACACGTAGGCGCCCGTGCTCGTCCGGTTCTGCTTGTCGCCAGCGTCGTCGGCGTCCACGTAGCCGACCAGCTTCAGCGACTCAAGTCCACCGCCAAACTCCAGGGCGGTGTCACGGGTGTTGGCGAGGTAGGCGAGGCAGGTCGACGAGGCTCTGTACTTCAAGGTCGACAAGGTGGCCTGCTGGGTGCTGGTCTACGTCGACGACCTGCTCGCCGCCAGCAGCAGTGCCGAGATGCTGAAGGAGCTGAAGGAGCTGCTGGAGGCCGCCTTGGAGCTGCGGGAGATCTCGCCAGTGCAGAAGTACCTCGGGCTGGAGATCGTGCGCGACAGGTCGGCGAGGAAGTTGTGGCTCCAACAGCAGGGCTATGCAGACAAGTGTCAAACTTATATGTTGCTAGTTCATTTCATTCTCCTTCATTATTCTGGCATGGTATCAGAGCAGGTCCTAGCCTAGGACCGTTTCTTAGGGGCCCACCGAGTAGCGCTACCCCAACCGTCGCGCCGCTGTGTTCGTGCCTCCCTACCCTGCCCTGCCCTGCGTTGCGTTGCGCTGCCTGCGCACGCTCTGCCCTGCCCGCGCGCTGCCCGCAGCAGCGCGCTCCTTTTTTGCCAGCGCGCCGCCCGCTACAGCGCGCCCTGCTTGCCCGCGCGCCGCCCGCCGCCGTGCCGCCGCGCCCGCGCGCCCTGTGCTGCCCGCGCGCTGCCCGCGCGCTGCCCGCCGAGCCGCGCCCTGCCCTGCCCGCGCGCCTCGCCGCCGCGCCCTGCCCTGCCTGCGCGCCGCCCGCCGCTGCAAGCCCTCCGCTGCCCGCGCACCGCCCACTGCGCGCGCCCTGCCCGTGCGCCGCCCGCCGCTGCCGGCCCTGCGCTGCCCGCACGCCGCCCGCCGCGCCGCGCCCTGCCCGCACGCCGCCCGCCGCTGCAGGCCCCGCGCTGCCCGCGTGCCGCTGATGCTCGCCTAGCCGTTCGCAACCACCTGCCGCTAGCCGAATGCGCCCACTTTGGCCAGCACAAGACAGCTAAAGCCATGTACGACGCTGTAGTCGCTCGTTACTCCTCCCCGGCCATTGCTGCTCTAGGCCGCCTTCTCCTGCCCTACCTGTTCCCGGACCTGTCCGCCTTTGCCACAGTAGCCGACCTCGTCACTCACCTTCGCACTAGTGACACTCGCTACCGCGATGCGCTTCCCGCCTAGTTTCTCACCAAGAACCATCCTCCCATGTACATCACTCTCTACTTCATAGTCACCCGCCTCCCTGACTCTCTCACTGCTGTCAGGGACCTCCTTGTAGCCCTCGACCCTACCGACCTCACTGTCGACCTGCTCGAGAAGCACCTCCTAGTAGCTGAGACTAGCATAGTCGCTGTAGGCGCTTCTCGTGGCACTCCCCGCACTCCCTTCTTTGAGGGGTGTTCGCCCTCCCCCCTGCTCCCCTCAGTCACCTCTGCTGCAGCTATTGACTACCTTCGTGCTGAGGAGGTAGGAGCTGCGTCTGCCCCTAGTGGGAGGCGCCGCAGCGGCAGGGGCAGGGGAGGCAGGGGCGGTGGGGGTGGCAGAGGTGGAGGCGGTGGTGGGGGCGGTGGAGGCCGTGGAGGAGGCGGCGGTGGCGGAGGGAGTGGTGGTGGGGGTGGAGGTGTAGGTAGCGGCGGTGGTGGCGGCAGTGGCGGTAGTGGCGGCGGCAGTGGTGGCGGCAGTGGGAGTGGAGGCGGTGGCAGTGGTGGCGGCCGGGGTGGTTCCAGTCAGAGGGGAGGCCTTGGCGGTGGTCAGAGGCAGCAGCAGCAGCGTCAGCTTTCGCCCCATGAGCTACGTGAGTGGTTTGCTCAGCGTGGGGCGGCTGGGGGTAGTGGTCCCTGCCTGTGTGTCATTCGTACAGGTGACCGCACTGGTCAGACATGCGGGAAGCTCCACACCCAGTACCACTGCTTCTCTCGTCTTACCAACGCCTTTCGCACAGAGTTTCCCGACGCGGCTGAGCTCCCCCGCTGAGCAGACCACCTTAAGCAGGGTGTAGACATCTTTGCTCTTGATTATGATGCTATCCTTTCTGCCATGTATGCATTGACTGTCAGTGTTGAGGGTGACTGTTACCTGTGTATGCCGCCCGGCCCGGGTATAGAGGTAGCTGCTCTAGGTGCTGGTGAGTCTGCTGCTCTAGGTGCTAGTGAGTCTGCTCTCTCTGGTACTGCGCCTGCCGAGGCCTTGCACACCTTCACGCTTGACTCAGGTGCTTCCCGCTGTTTCTTTTACGACAGTACCGCACTCACACCGCTC